ATTCCAGCGCCTGTGATAAGGAGCCATCTGCCTCTAACTGTGCTTCATCCATTTTCCCGCCCCCCCCACCTTTTACAATGGCAGAACCGCAGCATGTAAAAAGCAACTACCAACTAGCCAACTCTAAAATCTACTATTAAATCTTGCGAGGATTCTGACATGCCGCCCCTCCACAAATGAGGATGTCAGTCATATGAATCATATTCTTCACTCTGCAAAAGAAAAAGAAAAAGAAAACATGGTATAATGACATTTCTAAGTCTTAAGGTTTTGTAGGATAAGTCTTATAAAATTTTTTGATTAAATCTGGAGCCTTTACATGTTTCTTGTCAACCCATTCTGCCAATGATTTAGGGAAATGTTTCCATTGAATTAGAAACGGAATCCCCCCTCTTTGTTTTCTACTGTCCAGTATTTCTTTAATTTCGAAATGTTGCTCTCTTTCAACCATAATAGGTTTAGGTGGTGATGGGGTGGGATGCCATTGAGAAGATTCCTTGTACGGTTTAAGTAGATCACAGTGGAACACTGGGTGAATTCGTTTAAATGTGGCAGGCATCTGCAATCATACTGAGACTGCATTAATCACTTTATCAATGACAAAAGGACCTACAAATTTTGGGCCAAGCTTTTTCGAGGGTTGTAATGATTTAAGATGTCTGGTGGACAAAAGAACTTTATCTCCTACTTTCCAGTCCTTTTCTGGGGTTCTCTTCCGATCTGCAAATTTTTTGTAGGTTGCCCTCACCTCCCTCAATGATGCAGAAATTTGAGGCCACACTTGTGTCATTTGTTGGACCCAGTCATCAACTGAAGTGACCTGAGTGGATTATTTAGGTAGTTCCAGGATTGGTACAAAGTCTTGTCCAGTAGCTATTTTAAAAGGGGTGAGGCCAGTGCTTTTGTGCACTGCATTATTATATGCCACTTCACAAAGGGTAACAACTCATCCCAATTGTCCTGCTGATAATTGATGAAACATCTCAGGTATTGTACTGAGTTCAATCGTTCACAGGATCCTGTCGTCTGGGGGTGGTAACCCGAACTCAGGCCCTGTGTTGCCCCAATTAGTTTTAGGAATGCCCTCCAGAACTTGGCAGTAAACTGGACCCCTCGATCACTGATCACTCGTTCTGGGACCCCATGAGCTCGGTAGACGTGTTGTATAAATAACTTAGCCAGTTTCGGGGCTGATGGAAGGGAGTGGCATGCCACAAAATGTGCCTGTTTGGAAAAAAGGTCTGTCACCACCCAGATGACTGTCTTTTTATTACTTTCAGGCAAGTCTACAATAAAGTCCATGGAAATCTGCTTCCACTGAGCCTCTGGGCTCGCCACTAGTTGTAGAAGTCCCATCGGTTTGCCCCCCCTTCTCTTGGCTATAGCGGATGTGGGACATGTAGCCACATATTCCCCTACATCTTTCCTCATAGTTGGCCACCAAAATTGATGTCTGAGTAGATGTAGGGTTTTCACAAAGCCAAAATGTCCAGCAGTTTTGCTATCATGGCCTTTTTGCAAAACCCACCTTCGAGCCTCTGCGGGGACATACAGCTTATCTTGCCACCACCATGCACCCTGTTTATTTACCAGGGAGTAGCTATTGTTCTTAAACCATTCATCCTGGGCAATCTGGTCAATTAATTTTTTCAATAATTCCCCCTCTGGTTGCTCTTCACTCCTTTTTCTCTGTGCCCTAGTGACCACCCTTAAGGCTGCTTGGACACATGGGATTACAGGGGCAACCACTTCTTCCCACTTGCTATTGTGTTGAGGCAACCGGGACAGAGCATCCGCCAAGAAATTCTTTCCCCCAGGAATGTACTTCAGGGAGAAGTTAAACTGATGAAAATATTGGGCCCATCTCATTTGCTTTGGAGACAGTTTCCTCGGTGCAGTCAAGGCCTCTAGATTTTTGTGATCAGCCCAAATTTCGAAGGGATGGGGTGATTCCCTCCAACAGGTGTCTTCAACAAACTAATGCCCAGAGCACTGCAAACACCTCCTTTTCCCACACCAACCAGCGCCTTTCTGTCTCTGAAAATTTCCAGGAGATGTAGGCACATGGAAACAGCTCCCCCACTTTTCCTTTCTGCAACAGAACAGCCCCCACCGCCACATCCAAAGCATCTGCCTAGATGACAAATGGCTGTTCTGGGTCAGGGTGCTTTAACACTGGTTCAGCTGTAAATAGCTGCTTTAATCCTTCAAAGGCTTCCTGGCACTCCTTAGTCCATGCTAAGGGGGCTCCAGGTTTGGAGGCTTTCGCCTTGTCCTTGCCCTTGGTTTTCAACAAGTCTGTAAATGGAAGCGCCACTTGCGGAAAGTTGGGGATGAACTGATGATAGAAGTTAGTAAAGCTCAGGAAACTCTGAAGCTGCCGCCTTGTCTTGGGAGCCTCCCAACCCACGATGTCTCTCACTTTGGCCAGGTCCATTTCAGTTCCCTGATGCGAAATTCTATATTCCAAATAGTCAATTTGTTGTTTATGAAATTCGCACTTAGAGAGCTTGGCATACAATTGCACCTCCAACAGCTTCCTTAGCACTTTTCTGACTAATTTCACATGCTGCTCCATGGTTTCAGTGTAAATCAAAATATCATCCAGATAAACCAACACCCCCTGGTACAAGTCCTCTTGTAACACCTCATTTATAAGTTGCATAAACACCCCCGCTGCTCCTTTTAATCCGAACGGCATTATTTTATAGCGGTAGCACCCCAGGGGGCAATTAAATGCTGTTTTCCATTCATCCCCTTCACGGATCTGCACTCAGAAGTAAGCATCCCTTAAGTCTAGCTTCATGAAAATTTTCCCTTTGGATAAATGAGCTAACAGGTCTTTCATTAGGGGCAGTGGGTACCAGTTGTCTACAGAAATGGCATTTAGGCCCCGATAGTCTGTGCACAAATGTCAAGAACTATCTTTCTTTTCCCTAAAAAGCATTGGTGCTGCAATCTGAGAATACGTAGGTTCAATAAATCCCCTCTTTAGATTCTTATCAATGAACTCCCACAATGCTGCCAATTCTTTAGGCGTCATAAAGTACATTTTCTTCCTTGGGAATTTAGGCCCAGGCTCAATCTCTATAGCATAGTCGCTGGTGCGATGGGGGGGTAGCTGATCTGACTCCCATTCACTAAACACCTCCTGCAGGTTGCGGTACTGCTTGGGAATCCGGGTTGCAGCCTCCACCGCCTTTTGCCCACTCACAGCACCCATCTCCCCCTCCGACAACGTCTCAGTAATCCCTTTAACTTCCACGCCTCCCTCCTTCGGGAAACGCAAAATCTTTTCATCCCAGTTTACTTCTGGGTTCTTTCTTTTTAACCAGTTCATGCCCAGAAGCATTGGGTTGGATGCCATGGGAGTTACTAGGAATTTAATAATCTCTCTATGGTCTCCCATCTTCAGCTCAAGCTCTTCAGTACGATATTCCACCAGACCTCCCCCTGCTGGGGATCCGTCCAACTGGGTAAATATCACCGGGGTTTTGAGTCTCTTTAAATGCAGTCCCAGACCTCAGGGGATGGCAGGATTAATCAAGTTATGAGAGCAGCCCGAGTCTATCAGCGCCCGTATCTCCGCCCTCCAGTTCATCCTCACCACCCTTAGTTCCACCCAAAGTTTAATGGGACTCACCCCCATTTCTTCACTCTCCGAGTCCTCCCGGGAACTACTTTCCTTCTCCAGAAGCACGGCTGCCTATTGGAGAGAGCACGGAGCTAACAACTTCCGGGTTTTACCGCCGCTGCACGTCACCGGTTTGGCGCCCATCTCGCCGCCGATAGCCACGGACTCTTTCTTGCCGGGCTTCGAAGACTTCAGCCCCTTCTGCTCCGTCTTCTTACCTCCCGATTCCGGCTTCGCTTTAGGGCACGCCGCTGGAAAGTGCCCCGGCTCCCTGCAGTTGAAACACACACGGTGGCTCCAGCTACTCTCCGACATGCTGCTCTTCACCTTGGGCGCCGTTTTCTTTGTTACGGGTAAGGGCAGAAGTCGGGTTCTCGCTTCCACGGTGCGCCATTGTTCCTCCACCTCGCCGGCCATGGCAACCCATCCATGAAAGGTTTTAGGGTAACCCTGGCACATCACTCGCTGCAGTAATTCGGGTTGCAGGCCCCTCTGGAAGAATTCGATTAGGAGCCCCTCTGGCACGTCAGGCAGCCTCTGCGCCAAACCCCGAAATTCGTAGGCAAACTCGGAGACCGTCTTGGACCCTTGCTTAAGCCTTTCTAGGTCGCGTTGTGCTTTCAGCACCACACACGGATCTTCAAAGTGTGCCCAGAGAGCTGCCATGAAATCCTCCAATTTTCTCAACACCCGATCCTTCGCCTGGTGCAGGCCAACCACCCACTCGGCTGCCATGCCTTCAAAGAAACTCGACACATAGGAGACCTTCTCAGCCTCGCTGCGGAACAATTCACCATAGCCCTCCATGTAGATCCAAACCTGGGTGATAAAACAGGCAAGCTGCTTAGCATCCCCTCCGAATTTCATGGAGATGCCCTGCTGCTGCATTGGGCTCTTCTTGACTCAGCTAGGTGAGTTATCCTCATCCTCCTCTCTGGAGGTCTCCCCCTCGGCCAATTGCTCCACTGCTTCCGTTCCTCCCGGTGTCCCCGCCGACTCTTGAGTAGGGAGCATAAATCCCCCTCTGAGCAGTTTATCCACCCTGGCCCTTAACGCTCGCACATCATCAGATAGGGACCCCATCTGCCCCTCCAGTTTCCTCATGCGCTCTTTCGTCGAAGGGTCTCGTTCCTTCGTTGCCGTTGCCCTCGCCACCGCTTGGGTCTGGTGCGATGATTCCACCGGCTCCTCCTGGGTCACCACCTTAACTTCTAACGGAGGAAGATGGGGTGCCTCTTCCACTTCCTCAATGACATTGTCCCATTGCTTGGTAGGTCCCGGTCAACACGACACCTGGGATTCCCGCAGGACAATCTCCCCAGTGGAAGTCTTCATTGGGAGTCTTAGCAAAATGTAATGATCTGCCACCCACTGCTCCCAAGTCCAGTAACTTTCCTTGCAACCAATATTGATTCAAAAGAAA